AATCCATCATCACCACTACAAAGAAGAAGAACCAAAAAAAAAAGTAGCGGCCAGATATCTGAAATGAATAACAACTATTATACAAAGATGATGAGAGTTGGACAATCAGGAACTGTATCCAATCTACATGGTCTCTTCTTCAATATCACACAAAAAACTAAAAACTATGAAGTGTAAAAATATAAATGATGATGATCAGAGATATTGAGATTATTGGGTGGACTTGTTTCAATCAAAAGCAAGCATCCAACGCACAACAGCAACACAAGGCAGCAGCACAGCCCTTCCAGAAGCCATCGCCCTTTGACTTGGTTTCTACAGGAACAGAGTTCTGGGGCACATCTCTTGTTGGGTAGCCTGCAGGAGGTGGAGCTTGCACATGATATTGCTGGGCAGAGTTGGGAGCTTGGGCAGGGTATGCTGCTGCTACATGAAAGTCATCAAACAATTGTCAATAACCATATTGTTGAACAGAAGTTCAAAACTTTAAGCAACCCACCCACCAACAACAAATGAATTTTCAAAGTGTTTTGCCAAGTTGCTGAAAACTAGTAATTGAAGTGCAGAAATTCAGTACCTGTGGAATTCGTTGAACTCATCTTTGAAGAAAAGCTGTGAAATTCAAAAGAATATGAGATGTTGGGGTTTAGAATGAGAAATACTTGGAAGGTTTTGAGTTATTGGTTTAGAGATGAGAGATGAAGAATATTTATAGTAGAGAAGCAGATGCAGATGAGAATGGGGAAGAACTGATGGAGGTTGTTTCTTAAAAGGTAATGCCTCATACGTGGGCGGCTAAACCACGTGGGGCATAATATCAAGCCGATTAACACAAGGCAAATCCACATTTAGACTAATGGTGATGATCTTTAATCAAGTCGAAATGGTGGCGTGTCTTGCTTGTTAATTCTTATGATACAAGATATTGACACGTGCCACCTTATGACTCATATAAAAAATCAGACCAATAAAAAAAAGACTCATAGAAAAAAAAAATCCTTATTTGTTTTATTGGTTTTTTTTAATCGAAATTGTCCATGAATTTTTGTCTGAGTGACTTGAGTGTCATTTTAGTCATTCAATTAATTTTTTCATTTTAATATTCTTCAAAATATCTATGAATGTCAGATAGATCACACACGCCAAAATCTGTCAATATTGCTAATAAATTATGAGATAACACCTTTGTTTTTGGGTAGGAAATATTTTTGCTTATCATTTTAACTCAAGACACCACCTTTTTTGATACTTGACATGTGTTCATATGCACAATCATTGTTAATTTTTTACTTTGATTTATGTTATGTAATCATAGTTATAATTATGGACACGTATCAAGTGTGAAGAAGGGTGGTGAGCAAGGCACGGAAATATCCCTAAACCAGATCCCTCCTCTCGAGCAACTAGACACCAGTAATCACCTGTTACTTAAGAACAACAAGGCTAGACAGGTCATAATAGTAATGATACCCAAATGGACTTATATTAATATTCACATGCTGAAAACTCATCAATATTCGACACAGGTGAAAGTGGGGCAGGTATTATCGCATAATAAAATTCTTACTTTTTCAATACGAAGATGGAACGACCTTCTAGTGTTTCCATTCAACGTTAAGAAATGAAGAACAGGAAGGCAAAGGGGTCAAGAACTCAAGGCCATCAAGGAATCAATTGAATTGAAATAGAAATATTATTTATTGTAAACCTATTTTTAGTTAGGACGCAATGGTTGCTGTAAGATTAAGTAGTTGTTGATCTGCTTTGCTTGTCGGTTGTTCTTCTTCTTATCCAATTCTTTCTGTTTCTGTGCCCACCTAAAAACAAACCATTGCTTTCTGTCGTTATTGGATTATTTTGTGTTATAATAATAAGATGATGGGCTTCATCAAAACACGACATGTGTCTCAATTCTTGAACAATGTAGAAAATTGGGCCTGCTGCAAATACGACAAGAGCTGGGCCTCACACGCAACTCTTAAGGCCTCTCTTCGGCTGTACCAAATTTCCCAATTGTGGCTCTATAAGAGCTCTCATGGCCCAGAGTCCTGCGCAGTGTTATTGTGTTTAGATATCAATTATGTCGGTCCAAGAATTCTATAGTGAGGGTATTATACATGGTCCTTAAGTGAGGTCCTATCTTTTAACCGTTGAATCAGTTTAATTAATTAATTTGATCAAATGGCTAAGAGATAGGGCTTTACCTAAGGGTATAAGGCCCTCAGTATAAAATGATTCTACATCAGCCGGCTATGGTAGTGTGTCCGTTTTCTTGCACCTAAGAGTAAATTTATTTTATTGTAATTTTGAGTAGTTTAGAATAGTTTTCGTACATATACAAGAGAAGTAACGACAATTGCTATTGTGGGTTTTACTTTCATATTGCATATGAGATCTTTGCCTCCGATAAGACTAAAACAACAAAAAGTTTCCTAGACTGTTTTTGGTTATTGGCTTGAACCGAAATTGTGAAGCTTTTAAACACTTCAAATAAACTTCTCTTTTATATAAGCGACAACCAAAAATACTTTAAATTACTCTAAACTACGAAAAAGGAGAATCAAACTCGAATGCAATAGAACAGACACACTATCATCATCTTCTTCAAATAAAATTTGGCTTATGAATTATAACTTGAGATTTTTTTTATAAAAAAATTGATAAAAGGAACTATCTCTGAGGTTCTAACTGTAGGTTGTAGCAAAAGATGCACTTTTCCCCTTTGCCTTTTGCATTCGTTGCCAAAAATACAATCCTATTAGCAAATTAATAATTAATTTGATTTGAACTAATTAAGGTTGAGGTTTACAAGTCACGTGCCTATTGGTGGGTGGGTAGGGTTTGAGGTACAACCCACAGCCAGCTACAACTTCTTTGCCAACATTACTTACGTACGTTACCACGCTTTTCATGATCAACACGTTTATTTTTCATCTTCTTTGTGCTGGAGAGAAAAAATGGCGGACGGATGGACCGCATTGTACCATCGGCAATTTGCCCCAAGTTTAATGCCTTACTTTATGTCTCTTTCCCTTCCAAAAGGTCTTTTTTCCTGGGAACGAGAAAAGTGTGCTTTAGGTAAGCCTAACACTAATCTGGGCCACCAAATTTGAATCTTAAATAATGTATCATAAAATTTAAAGCGGATTCAGATTTGAATCAATATACTTTCACGTATGTATCAATTAAATCAAACTAATTATAATTTGCTACCGTGATGTCTGAATTACAGTTCGTTTCATGCTCACTCTTTTATTACTCGTTGTATATAGTTTGGTGGGTGGAGGCTCTGGAGCATTCTCTCCTTGACAGAAATTACGTAATGCTTTCATTGAGAAGCACGCTGGCGTTCCACAGGGAGATGGAGTTGTATATGGCGCACTAAAATTGGCGTTTTGCTTGAGTTTCATGCGTTTTACACTTCACTTTTCCACCATTCAAGTCGGCAAGCTTGTTTGTCGCAGCTTGCAGTTTTGAGTACAAACTGTGGTAAAAAAGATTTTTCCAAAATCAATGATTGTGTTTAGTCACCTTTATTCATATTCGGCACATAGTTATTTTGTACTTTTGATTGTTTATCAATAATATTATCGCTTATTTTCAAAAGGTTTTTTTTCAAGGAACAAAATTACCTGGTGTGAATATTATTTTATCCCAAAATCTATGATCAATATAAACATTTAACATTATCCGTAAATCCCACGGAAGACAAAAGAAAAAAGGTGAAAGTAGCAAAGCATATCATTGATGGATGACGTAGTTAAAACTTAAAAGGGTGTGGTGTTTATCGAAATTTACACGTGTTGAAAAACACTACCATGACAAAATCAAAATATATATGGTTGTGTTGTGGGTGGTCCGAAGCCTAACTTGAGCTCCATTGGACAATTGAATGCATGCTTAAGAGGAGTTCACATCCACCTAACTAAAAGTAGAAATGATAGAGCAATACAAAAGTTGAACAAAGAAGACTTAACTGCAACTTGGTATTTCTTTAGGATTTGAATTTTGAAAGAAGACTTCATTTTTAAAAAAAAATTGCAATTGGATACTTTGTAATTAGAAAAAAAAAAAAACAAATTGTTTTTACATTTGAACGAGTTTCTTGACTTTATGATATATTTAGGCCCCATTTGGTTCATGGATAAAATTTGATATTTCCCATGTTATTTCCCAAGGGATGAGAAATGGAAAATTCATTTCCCATGTTTAGTAATGTTGAGAAAGTAACCAGGAAAATACTATTTTATTTCCTTTCCCATGTTTGATTTGTGCAAGAATATATTGGCTTCGTGGACCATAGATGAGGACAAAATTACCACTTTATTGAGGACAAAATGGTCATGAAAAAGATATATTTATTGCTGACCCTTAGTTTCCCACATGAAGGGTTCCATTTTCTCACCTCTACCTGGACTTACTAAACATGAGAAATCATTCCAAGTCCCATTTCCCATAAACGAAATGCAGCTAAAGTTTATAGAAAGACAACTCATTATATCTTCTCTTTAAAAAAAATTATTTTCATTTAAATGTTAATTTGAACATAGGCTTCTTATAAGTTATTATTTTAGCTGTCTTGTCAAATATATGTTTGTTCCTATTAATTAAACTTCTTGGAGGTAGCTAGTGAATCGTGATCAATATGCATAATTTATTTTAGTGAAAGCATGACTTCGATCCTACTAAAGTGTACATTTTTTAAACTGGAAACAACCAGAAAAGAAAAGAAAAAACTTAATTAAACATTTTTTACAATTTTTAATTAACACTTAATTAAACATTATTTTGAAAACTAAATTAAAAGGAGAGAAAGGTCTATTATATTTAATTGTACTAATTTTCTTTGTTCCAAAAGGAGTGAACATGAAATAGGCTTATAAATTATAACTGTACACATCATGAAGCACATGCCTAGTTGACTCATCCTCCCCTATCTCCCCTCTCTATTAATATTGCCTTGGTTTGGACTCTCAGATCATCACCTTAATAACATTTAAGAGAGAGAAAGAGAGAAAGAGGAGAGAGAGAGATGGGAAACATGAAGTGCATAAAGAGGTCCAATTCCATCATCATCTTGGTTCCCTATCCAGCACAAGGACATGTCACTCCCATGCTTAAATTAGCCTCAGCCTTCCTCAGCCATGGCTTCAAGCCAGTGCTGGTCACACCAGACCACATTCACAACCAGATAGTCCCAAAGGTTGAACAAAACGACAAGATTTTGTGCATGCCAATCCCAGATGGACTGGACAAGGACGCCCCAAGGGACTTCTTCGCCATTGAGAAGGCCATGGAGAACACCATGCCAGGCCATCTGGAAAGCCTTGTTCATCAACTTGATCATCAGGATGGTGATCAAGTGGTGTGTATAGTTGCTGATTTGTTGGCTTCGTGGGCCATAGATGTAGCCAATCGCTGTGGGGTACCCTCTGCTGGGTTTTGGCCTGCGATGCTTGCCACATATCGCTTGATCACTGCCATACCAGATATGGTCAGGACAGGTCTCATTTCTGATACAGGTTGGTTTTTGCTGATATATTAATATTTAGTGTGCATGATATCATCTTGAGTGAATCATTTGCCTTCTTAGTTTCTCATTTTTGGTATATTTTTTTTTTTGTCAATACAAAGCGATAGTTTAAAACAATTCTAATTTACGAAAAAGGGAATTTGCGTGTGATGGGGCTGGCACACTGCCCTGGCCAATTCCATAACCCACATCGACGTCCCCTTTTAGAGTCTTTAATAAATGTCTTCAAGTTTTGCATTTTTCTAAGAAAAATAATATTTTTATTTGTGTCACATGATTATATTTTGTCATAGTATAATTTTATTATAAATAAAACTATTTATATCACATTTATTAATTATATTTCGTAATTATTTAGTATTATTCTGAATTAGAAATTGCCTGGGGTGTGCTTGAATTAAACATACATGCCAACCAAGGTGGTTGGTGTGAGTGGTTCGGCACTCTCATTCCTTAAGAGAGATTAGGGGTTCGATCCCTGTTCTCGTACGGAGTCACCATTTTGGCCAACACTTTACCCCTTACGGGCCAATCCGGTGTGAGTGGGGATTAGTCTGGGTTATGGTTAAGGCTTAAAGGTGCCACCCATAGTTGGGGCCCATCCAGGACCACCTCATGGTTCAGACAAAAAAAAAAAACATACATCCACATATATAAATATATTTTATATATAATATAATATATTGAAGTAAGCACGTTTGGACAAGTGATGTTGAGGGCCAAAATGATACCTATAGTTTTCCCATAATGTTGTAATTAAAGCTGTAAATTATTGATGAAAAATTGTTAGACTTAATATTTTATATTGTGAGTTTGGTATATAAAAATTCCACTAGATCATATTTTTTTATAGCAGAAAATGTCTCATGAGTTGTAGTATTGTAGTTTGGTTGACTGCGGTGAAAAAAAAAATTATATAAATTTATCAATGTGGAAGTTCACGTGAGATGGGGATGGGACTTGAATACATTACTGATCCAGGCATGAAACCTTCAGTACTTAGTTGGGCATGACTTTATTGTAGTTTTAAGTAACCAGGCACGTGCCATACATTAAAGTAAGCTAATTAACTTTGTTATTGTTAATTAAACTTGACTAGTATAAAGGCTAACAAAATCATGACTTTAATTAACAGAATCACATATGTGAATTGTTAATTAGTATGATTAGATTAGAAGTCAGATTCACTTACCCCTTTATTAATCACATCCGTAAATTATCTATATGAGTCGGACCATAAAGTAATGTGTTCAGTAAATATGATAATGGACTTACGTGATATTACTATATTTGCAGGATTTCCAAAGCAACATGGTGGTATATGCTTGCCTAATCAACCTCTGCTCTCTAGTGAAGATCTTCCCTGGTTGATTGGCACCCCAGCTTCAAGAAAAGCAAGATTCAAATTTTGGAAAAGAACCTTGGATCGATCAAAAACTCTTCCATGGCTCCTTGTAAATTCTTTTCCAAATGAATATTGCACCAATGGTGAACAACAACTTGATCATCATCAATTAGTCAAGATGAACACTCAAGCCCAACAACCTCTAGTTTTCCCAATTGGTCCTCTGAGCAAGCACACAACAATCAAGAACCCTAGCTTTTGGGAAGAAGACACAAGCTGCTTAACTTGGCTAGACAAGCAAAACCCTAACAGTGTAATTTACATATCTTTTGGAAGTTGGGTAAGCCCCATTGGAGGGGCAAAGGTGAGAAGCTTGGCATTGGCACTTGAAGCTTTGGGGAAGCCATTCCTTTGGGTGCTTGGGTCTTCATGGCTTGGAGGGCTACCAAATGGGTACTTGGAGAGAGTCTCAAGGCAAGGCAAAGTTGTTTCATGGGCCCCACAAATGGAGGTCCTGCAACACAAAGCTGTAGGGTTTTATCTCACACATTGTGGCTGGAACTCAACAATGGAGGCCATCCAGTGCCAAAAACCCCTCTTGTGCTATCCAGTGGCTGGGGACCAATTTGTAAATTGTGCCTACATTGTCAAAGTTTGGAGAATTGGGGTGAAATTAATTGGGTTTGGACAGAAGGATGTGGAGGAAGGATTGAAAAAGGTGGTGGAGGATGCTGAGATGAGCAACAGGCTGAGGAAGCTAAATAAAAGGACCATGGGAGATGAGGCTAATTTGAGAGTTGTGGCTAATCTCTCTGCCTTCATTGATGATCAGCTTAAGATATTAACACTTGGGTTTTCCTCCAATGGTGTTCATGATTATGATTAAGATATATAGCTTATTATATTTTGTTAATTATGTAATTTAATATGTAAAGAGAGAGTATAAATCAATACATAGTAGTGGAATTCCATCGTAACACATTAATTATTTTTGTTGAGAAATTCTAGAATTGCATTCATAATTCAGTTAAAAAAACCACTAACCACAAAAGGCCAATACAAACTAGCCACAAAGGGCTGTTACAATAAGGAGCGGTCTAACATAAAAATTAAGACAATTTGGTGCTACTCCACTAACGATTAAGCATGATTGAAGAAATTATGGTATAGGCATCCCAACTAAGATTGTAAACTCAGAATAATTAAAAAGAGATAAAGCTTAAAAAAAAAAACCAAACCATAACAATACAAATAAAACTCTCACAAAAGAGAGGTGAAAACTACACGAGAACCCAGAGAGTCTCTATGACTTATTCCAAACATAAAGAATTAATTTAAGTATTGGTTTATATAATTTATAAATTTACTAAACTGACCTGTACCAGCCTCACCTATCCCGGGTTCATATCCTTTTCAAATAGATAAACTATCTAAAATTAGTTAATTGTATTGAGTTTCGTATGCTAATACAACTTACGAGTCGGCAAGTTGGTCATGTGGAACAAGAATACGATAGGTGTGAACTGAAACAACTTTAGGTTGCAATCTTGGTTAGTTGACTCCTAGAACTTCTTAATTAATTACATGACTACTATTTTATCTTAGTCGACAGTCCCAAAGAAAAAAATATAACAACAGAGAACTTAAGAACCTAGTTAGAAATTCGCGTATAATACTTGTATTATATACGTAAAAATATTTATATTTTTCTTTTACTTCTAAAAAATACAGTATAGTACACATTTAAACAAAATCAAACCTTAGATTTTAATTATATTATTAAACTGATTTGATTGAAAAAGGGCATAATTTATACTTAAAGACTTTTTTTAGATTGATATTTGACAAACTTTGTTTGGCAAAGCCTCAATTAATAATAGTATAGATATAAACTTGAACGGTTTGAGCAGCTCTTTTCACCCTAATGCCAAAGGGTAATAGATGGTGGAGGATTCTTCAAGTAGTCAATTAAGGTGTGAAGGCCATAATTTTTATGTGGTGTTAACAATCAACTTATGTAATAATAATTTTACCGTTTATCTATACTAGACGATAATGATTATAGTAAGTTTTTGTTAACTATATACTAATTTTTGTTAATAATTATATACGTATGTTATAATATGAGTCGATTGATAAAAACACGTGATGATTTTATAAATGGTTATAGTATTAATATTTATATACACGTGTTATAACATGTGTATTAATTAATAACATCACACATTGTCTTAAGAAAATAACATCACATGCTAATGTGACTATCTTACTCAAGTACTTTTCCCATTCAAGTGTCAATTAATTACAAGTAATCTATATAAATGTTTTTGGGTTAATTTCAAACTCTCACTCTTAAGGCATATTTGTCGTTACACTCTCAATTTTAACCATTATGGACTCTTAAGGCATATGTGTCGTTTTGATATCAATTGAAGGGTATTTTCAGGCAATTGATGTCTTCCTCAAGTACTTTTGCTAAAAAACTATGACTAAGTTTGGACAGGAAGGCACCAATTGTTTGAAAATACCCTTCAATTGACCTCAAAAGAAGCGAATAAGTGAGACATAGTCCTATCACTTAGACAATTAACGGAAATTTGACGGCCGAAACCAAATTGCAAAAACTTAAAAATATTAGAGTACATGATTGTTAAAATTGAGAGTGCAGGGACTGTTGGCACCAAAACTGAACAGATAGAGATGAGTGCAACTTACAAGTGGTGAGGACGATCTAACAAATCGATTGAGTGATAGATGCAGATTCTTCTTGTCCTTGGATGCAGATCCTGAATAGAAGAGAGTTGAGGCTCGTGAGGTCTATGGAACCGGTGTGGAACCAGCCTAAGACCCTCCGATGCTAAAGTAAGTTTGTTTTCTAAGAGCCTTCGCTGTTGACAATATATTAGTATAAAAGTCAAGCTGAAAAGTCTTACCCCTGTATTGTAGTGAAGGGGCCTATTTATAAAGGGCATCTTGTATGCTCTTAGTACTTAATTTCGATGTGGGACTCATGGGAGGGCCCTATGAGGTCGACACGAGTCTTTAGATATTTCGGGCGGGTGCTTCGAGGTTGATTCTGCAGAATCGATAGGAGATACCGATTGTAGTTTATGTTGGGCATGTAGCGACCTTTTGCCCACTTGAGACAATATCATCGGTAGCCGACGCTGATTGTTCGGAGCCTTGGGCACTTGGGTAAGTTTCTAAGATCCACGTGTCGTTGTATGAGCGGAGGGTCAGATATGGTACAAACAAAATATGAACGGAGGGTCAGATATGGTACAAACAGTAGTCCCCCCAAGTTACTGATTGAGAAGCTTCTCGGTTGGGGACTTGAATTTGTCTTCGGCATTCTGACCCGGACTCGATGGTCTCGTTGTTGCCGATGGTGGTATGTAGTCCCCCAAGTGCCTGAGGGAGTGAGCTTGGAAAAGAGACGGCATTCGATACCGAATGGCCTGAGAGAATAGTGTAGGTCAGGGTTTAGGTACACCTGTGGTTCGGCACGAAAGGTGAGTGAAAACTCAACAAAGTGCGTTTGCCGTTTGGCACGAGAGGTGAGTGATAACTCAACAATGTGCGCCTGCCGTTCGGCACGAGGGGTGAGTGAAAACTCATCAATGTGAGTGAAAACTCATCAATGTGTGCCTGCCGTTCGGCACGAGAGGTGAGTGAAAACTCATCAATGTGCGCCTGCCGTTCGCGAATGGAGTTGTGCTCGAAGGTGGCTAGAGCTGCAACGTTTGGGAAGTTGAAGCGTCTCTGAGGATTGGAAACGTTTCAACTGACAACATTTGGGCTCCCCCATGCATGCGTGACACGTGTCGGCATGGCTGGGAGGAGTCGCATCGTTTCGTGTCCCGATGTGTTGCTTCGCTTCCCGATGCTAGGTTCGTCCTATAAATGTGAGGAAGGGACGAGAGTTCGAATACTTGGAATTTTTAAGAGCAATCAGAGCTTGTGAGAGGCGATTTCCTGCAACCGTGCGAAGGCTGAGCAGGCGATTTCCGGCGAGCGTGAACAAGGCGGAGGCGATTTCCGGCGAACTTGAACCACCGTGCAAACAAGGTATGTTGTCGTGTTTTTGAATTTTGACGAATCAAAGTGTTGAATTCGATGAATTTTTGTTTGAATAAAGCATAAACAAGTATGAACAAGCATGAACAATCATGAACATAGGTGTTTAGGTGGTAGAATATTGTGGGGGTCTTTTTCTGCTGGAAGGCTTAGCTGGGCCGGATGGTCGCTAGTCTTGAGTGAAGCCTTCAAGTCCCCGTTTCTGAGTTAGCGAGAACTAGGCCCAAAGCATCCCGAAGGGAAGGCAAGCCCTAGGGGGTACTCTGTTATTCTTACAGCAGCTCCATATTTGACTGGCTTTTGATGCTAATACGTGGAATAGATGGACGGCAGCTCTAGACGGTGTACACTGCTGCTGGATGGTGTACGGCTTCTCTGGAAAGAGTTGAGGATGATGCGCTAGTGTTGCACAGAGATAGGTTTGGCATGGGAGTTTCCTCTGATGAGTTAAGATAATGAGCTTGGCATGAGAGGCTTGTGGTGTGGGAGCTAAGAATCCATAAGTTTAGCAGGAGAGAGTATTTTGCTTGAGGAACGAATGATTATGGCAGTGTATTGTGGAATGATTGGATGGTGTTCAATGCTTAAGGTGATATTATGGAAGAAAATGAGAATGGGGAGGTTAATGCCTGGGTTTTGTGTGTTTATCTAGAGCACGACAGTGCATGGTCTGCTGGGTTGTTTACTGTGGCTAGAGCACGGCAGCAAAAGAAAGGTTACGGCAGCAAAATGAAGGTTACAGCAGCAAACATGGTTTGCTAGAGTACGGCAGCAAAATGGAAGCATGGTTTGCTAGAGCACGGCAGCAAAAGAAAGGTTACGGCAGCAAAATGAAGGTTACAGCAGCAAACATGGTTTGCTAGAGTACGGCAGCAAAATGGAAGCATGGTTTGCTAGAGCACGGCAGCAAAAGAAAGGTTACGGCAGCAAAATGAAGGTTACAGCAGCAAACATGGTTTGCTAGAGTACGGCAGCAAAATGGAAGCATGGTTTGCTAGAGCACGGCAGCAAAAGAAAGGTTACGGCAGCAAAATGAAGGTTACAGCAGCAAACATGGTTTGCTAGAGTACGGCAGCAAAATGGAAGCATGGTTTGCTAGAGCACGGCAGCAAAAGAAAGGTTACGGCAGCAAAATGAAGGTTACTCTCCGCAGGCTCCTTCATGAATCTCTCGTAAGACGTAGTCTCCCTGCTGCGGGGTCATGCACCGAAGCAATGGTAAGGAATGGCCACGCCGAGAGAGAGTCTGATTCAAGATTAAGTAGCGTGCCGATCGGCGACGGAGAGTCTTGGCCTCAGTATTGCCGTCTGGCAGTGTTCCGCTTAAGAGGTAAGCATATATTGGATCCATCCAGCTTGAATCCTGCCGAACGGCATGTACCTCGCCGTCGGTGGTGCTGCGCCGAGCGAGGATTTCGATCGGCACGTGGCGACCTACGTCGTCGTCAATTGTCGATGCCAGACGTGACAGGGCATCGGCGTGGCTGTTCTCAGATCTGAGGATCTGTTGAACCTGATACGTGTCAAAGTGGTGTAGCAATCGGCGGGCATGCGCCAAGTAGGCAACCATCGAAGTATCTTTGGCTTCAAATTCAGTCAACACCTGATTAATGACAAGTTGTGAGTCGCTACATATCCTCAGTTGTCGAGCGCCCATTCCCTTGGCGAGCCGAAGGCCCGCCAAGAGAGCTTCATATTCGGCTTCGTTGTTGGAAGCCTGGAATTGGAATCGGATGGCGTACTAGATGGTCGTTTGATCAGGGGCTTTGAGCATTAAGCCGGCCCCGCTGCCTTGTGATTGGACGAGCCGTCCACATAGAGAGTCCACATGGGAATTGAAGGGCTATACGTTCCTTCGGTCGGATGGGCGACTGGTGCGGCCGATTTCGGAACGG